GGTGTCAGGGGGGTTTGGGGTACAGGGATTAGAGGATACAGGGGGGGTTTTGGGGTGTCAGGGTGGGTTTAGGGGGGGTTTTGGGGTGCCAGGGATGTTTTTGGGGTACCTGCAGCACAGTGAGGGCCCCGTTCTTTGGGATTTGGGACTACAGGGGGATTTGGGGGTGTCAGGGTGGGTTTAGGGGGGTTTTGGAGTGTCAGGGTGGGTTTAGGGGGGGTTTTGGGGGTGTCAGGGTGGGTTTAGGGGGGTTTTGGGGTGCCAGGGTGGGTTTAGGGGGGTTTTTGGGGTGTCAGGGTGGCTTGAGGGGAGGGTTTTGGGGGTGTCAGGGTGGGTTTAGGGGGGTTTTTGGGGTATCAGGGTGGGTTTAGGGATGTTTTTGGGGTACCTGCAGCACGGTGAGGGCCCCGTTCTTGCCGTAGCCTGAGCACAGGACGATCTCCAGGTCGGGCTCGGGGCTGTTCTGGAACTGGGGGTGGGGGGGGGGACACAGAGTGGGGTCACCCCGAGCTCTGGGGGGGTCCCGGGTGGGGTTTTGGGGTCCCCCCAGTTGTGGGGTGTGTCCCCCCCTCACCTCCTCAGACAGGAAGGCCGGTTCCCCCATGGCGGCGTTGGCGCAGGGCCCGATGTTCAGGATGCTGTCACACACCTGGGGGGGACAGAGGGGACATGGGGGGTCACAGGGGGGTCACAGATGTTGAGGATGCTGTCACACACCTGGGGGGGACAGAGGGGACATGGGGGGGTCACAGGGGGGTCACAGGGTCACAGGGGGGTCACAGGGGGGTCTCAGGGTCACAGGGGGTCACAGGGGGTCACAGGGGGGTCACAGATGTTGAAGATGCTGTCACACACCTGGGGGGACATGGGGGGTCACAGGGGGGTCATAGGGGGTCACAGATGTTGAGGATGCTGTCACACACCTGGGGGGGACAGAGGGGACACGGGGGGGTCACAGGGGGGTCACAGGGGACATGGGGGGTCACAGGGGGGTCACAGGGGGTCACGGGGGGTCAGAGGGGGGTCATGGGGGTCACGGGGGTCACAGGGGTCACAGGGGGGTCACAGGGGGTCACAGAGGCCACAGGGGGTCAGAGGGGGGTCAGAGGGGTCACAGGGTCACAGGGGTCACAGGGGGACACAGGGGGGTCACA